GTCATGCACGGGCTCGGCTCAGCAGGGTGCACACAGGTCCATGGGCATGCTTGGGCCAGGGGTTTACACACTCAGCTCACACAGCCTGCGGGGTTGCACGCTCGGCACACGTGGGTCAGGGGGTTGCCCATTCTGCTCTCACAGGCCGGGGTGTGCACGCTTGCCTCGCACACATGGGTCAGTGGGCATGCTTGGGCTGGGGGTTGCACGCTTGGCTTGCACGCCCATGTTTGCAGTAGCTCCCCTGCGATGCACACACGTGTGCCCGGGATTTGCACACCCCCATCCCACACACATGGGCCTGCTCAGCTCCTACCCCTTCCTGCAGGGAACCCAGGCGTCCTGCACCCAGGGGTGGGTAATGGGGCGCTGGGATCTTGCCGGGGGGGTGGCCTGGCTCTGACCTCTGCCCCCCGCAGTACCTGGGCCACGCGGAGGTGGAGGAGTCCCGGGGGATGCACGTGTGCGAAGAGGCCGTGAAGAAGCTGAAAACAGTGAGTGCAGCTGGCACGAGGTGGGGGGGAGGGCAGGTCTGGGCCAGATGCCCCCGGTGCCCCCCACTGGGAACCCCCAGCACCTCCTCCTTCAACCCTCTTCTCCACCCCGAGTTCCCCAGCACCCCCCCAGCCACCCATCATCCCCCGTTATCTCCCCGGGGGTGCTGATAGATTTCTCCAGTCTCTGAACCGGTTCCCCCAGCCGTGGGGCAGGGGGCCCAAGAGGGGGGGTTGGGCTGGGGGGGGGGTTCTAGCAGCCCCCCCCCACCCCCCCCCCCCCCCGATTGCAGAGCGGGCGCAAGTCGGTGAAGTCGGTTCTGTGGGTGTCGGCCGACGGGCTGCGGGTCGTGGACGACAAAACAAAGGTACGGGGGGGGTGCGGGGGGAGGGACTGGGGATTGTGGGGGGCGTGGCTGGGGGGGTTATGGGGCAGTGGGGAGCCATGGGGGGGTCCTGCCATCCCCCCACCCCCCATGGACTCAGTGGGAGCCCCACGGACGTGCAGAGTGTCTCCCTGGGCTGAGGCGGGGGGGGATGCACTGCCCCGTCTCATGCCCCCCCCTGCCCCCCAGGATCTCATCGTCGACCAGACCATTGAGAAGGTTTCGTTCTGCGCCCCCGACCGCAACTTCGACAAGGCCTTTTCCTACATCTGCCGCGACGGCACCACGCGCCGCTGGATCTGCCACTGCTTCCTGGCCCTCAAGGACTCGGTGCGTGGCCCCCGGGTGTGTGCCTGCACGCCTCGCACCCTCGCCCACGTGCTGAACCTGGCACGCCTCGCACGCACACTGCACCTCGCACGCTGCACCTCACACGCCTCGCACCCTCGCCCGTGTGCTGAACCTTGCACATCCGCTGCACCTCGCACCCTCGCCCATGTGCTGAACCTGGCACGCCTCGCACGCACACTGCGCCTCGCACGCTGCACCTCACATGCCTCGCACACCCACTGCACCTCGCACCCTCACCCGCGTGCTGAACCTGGCACACCTGCCTCGCCCTCCCGCCTGCCCGCTGCACCTCGCACCCTCGCCCGCTGCACCTCGCACGCCTAGCACCCTTGCCCCTGTGCTGAACCTGGCACGCCCACTTTGCCCGCAAACCCACTGCACCTTGCATGCCTCGCACCCTCGCCCATGTGCTGAACCTGGCACGCCTCGCACGCACACTGC